ATAGTGCGAAGGGTGAATTGTTGAGACGTGTTCGAGAGCAGATGACGAGACTGCTATAGACGTGAGAATAGAAGCGTGTTGAGAGAATCATCTCTCCACGCAGGGTTGGGTGTTGTACCAAGATATTGTGATTATAGTGTATCTAGATGATATATCTGAAAACTACCATACTCAGAATACCTTTAGGATCTCTCATAAATTAAAAATTATTCCGCCAATTTATTTATACTTCCTAGGTTTTTCACGTACATCAATTCGTTATATATGAGTTTTGTTCTAAAAAGATTATTTTTTTGAAAGTGGATTTCCTAGACGTGTGCGTGATCCATCGAGAACAAAAGAGTGGCTTCTAATTAAACCTTGTTATCTTGGCATATTTAATTAATTAGAAAACTCAATCATGAATCTCAATCATCGCTCAAAGTAATTTTTTCTTATATTCTAAGGCAAACTTCTGGCGGCTTCAATTGCTAGCGTGTTGTGTCAATTTTAAAAATTCACCTGGGCTGTCGAGTGCGTGGTCGTCTTAAATCTATAACATCTTGCATTATAGACGGTGTGTCGACTGAATTTCACCAAGCAATAAAAACAGCGAATAATACATTGAATTTAGAGACGTGAGTCTAGCATTAATAATCAAAAAGGACAATAAAGCTATCAGTTGAATTAGGATAAAAATCTAGCTTACAATTATAATAGTGATTCGATTTTACAACCTAACCTTGAGGAGAAACTAGCCATTTGATGATTTTATCAATAAGACAGGAGGTTTAAGGGACCAACAAAGCAATCATGTGGAATTCAATAAACAAAATAATACTCAAGAATAAGAGATAATAGATTTGTCTTTGGTCTTCTTAATCGTTCAAGCTTTGAGGGGTTGTAGTCCCTTCAATCTCGTTCCAAGAATTTGATCTTCGATTCTCCCCTTAAGTCTCTTTTTGGTGGCTTGGTTTTTATGAGAAAAGCCTTTTGAATTCCTCTCTAAAATTTGTCCTGCAGAGCAGGCTGGTCAAGTCCTCCTCTTTAGAAGCAAAGGCAATCCGGGTGCGCTAAGGAATTTCCAACTTTGCGAGAGGTGCCTAATGTAGAGCTGAGAATTATTGAGCCAATTTATGTTACCATAGATGATTGGAACATGGTAGTTGAAAGTCTTCATGAAGCTGAGCCCTATGTTTTAGCTTTTCTATAGCATTTTTAGATCACCTCCAATCCGAACATTATGTAGAGGGTAATTTTAGTGCCCAAAATTAGTAAAAGAGCAAAAACTCCTCGAATCAGGACTGTTGAGCTTTTTGCTCAAGCAACTAACGCGCCGTATGGCCAGCGGCTTTTGTTTCTTCTCTTGGATTTCCTGTCTCTTTTTCTCCAATTATTCATTTAATTGGCCAACGGACTGCTAATAAACTAACAGGCCTCGGGCCTGTTCACTTTTCGATTCTAATTTGACAGTTTTCAACTTTTTCTGGAATCGGCATCGTATGACTGAGTTGAAAATGCTCCTTGTTATACGCGTCAATATCATCAAATTGGTCCATTATATTATACTGCCCGACGTCTTTGAATCTAGTTTTTAACGAACTTGAGTCACTCCCAGCAAAATTCCATCTGTAGTCATGGATAATGCAAAAGTAGTGGAGAGATAGTCAACGCTGGATATAATTTTGGTTGGAGGCGTAGCCTCAGAGTGGTGTGTTCTACTCCAACCTTTGCTCTATTGCTCCTTTGCACTTTCAAACACTCTTTACATCAGGCTTCAATAAGAACCTCAATACATCAGAGAACGGCCGGGAACGGCTAAGCTAGGTAACAACCGGAACTTTAAGACATAGCATATGAATAACGATATGGGGAGAGCGATAATAAGAGTAAATTAGTGTAAACAGAATATAGCGGTGCGTTAGCGAGTGTGTCTGTAGTTTTATTACACAGTCAGATGACTGCTGACTTCTAGGAGGAAGAGTTGAAAAGCTACAGAAATTCTGTTAGTTATGGCTTCAATAATTCTTTACCAGAAGCATGATAATGTCAACCCTCGTTTTTTTCGTCCATTTCGATACATTAATTTTTGGTTGTAGTTTGGTTACGATTGGGGATCTGAATTGATGTTGGCGGTGAGTGGTTATGTGAATTAGGATTTATTAAATGAAGATTATGAATTTTACGCCATGGATGAATAGTAAAAGAAATGTGTTTAATTTAGGAAATTCTAAATGTTTGTTAGTCCATGTTTCCGATGTGTTCATAGCTTTTTTCAAAAGAAAATGAGAAGATAGTGTGTCATGGTTGTCTTATTCTAATAAAATGAATAATCATTTTTGTTTTAAGGAAAGAAAGCAATCACTTGTTGGTTTATCTCACTTTCTATAAGGACAAAGGAGTAAGAAAGTTCTTCGTGTTCGATTGGGAATTAAAGAAAAAAAAGAATGGATATTAACGAACGAATGGATGGATAACGGAAGGATGAACAAAAGAGAGAAGAAGAAGACCACTCTGATTTTAAATGAACAAGGACAAAAGACCACCTCAAACAAAATGTTTCATAGATTAAGGGAGCACGAGATCAATTCCAAATTATTTGGAGCTTTGACTGTGGCAGCCCTTTTCCTTTCCTGTACACTGACTGATAGTTTGTGTAGTGTCTTTCTTGTTTTTTTACTGTTGGTGTTAGGCGACTGAATTAGGTGCGTGCAGTTTCATTGCTTGTTGGCTTTTTTTTTTTTTTTTTTGGTGTTTGTTTTTAAGACATCTCGCTGTCGAAATTTTTGAATGGTTGAAATGGTTAAGGTGTGTGCTATGGGTTTATGATTCTCCATTTCTCCTTGCTTCTTTTTTTATTTATATATTATTTGTTATAAGGATCTTATTAATTCTTGCTGTTTCTCCTTGCTTTTTTTTTTTTTGTTTACTTATATTTTTTTGTCTTAGCTCTTGCTGTGGCAATTTGTTGAACAGTTCTTTTGTTGCTTTGATTTATGAGAAACTAATGAATCGCTTGAATTCTATTGGTTTTCAATTTGATACTATCACATTTGATCACCTAATAATCGGTTCTCAATTATTTCATTTTTGCGCTAATTTTTATTTGTATAATATTGAGATTATTTTCTTAGTTTCACATTTTTTAGGCTTATTAAAAAAAAAAGAAAAAAAGTGTAAGTAGCGAGGCACGCGGTGGCTTGTAATATGTCTAGTGAATGCAGTCATAGTAAAACGTTCAAAACCGAGACTGAAGCCGGATGGTGTGAATCACATGCAGTGAGGTAGGGAATGCTCTCTCTGCGAATTCATTTGTTTGAATACTGGGATCCCCGTCAATTTACAAGCTAAATACTATTTGCATATGGGTGGAGGAATCGTTGGATCAAGGTTTCTCGACCCAGGGGTTGGACTGTTGGAGGTGAATATGCCACCATCATTTCTGCTTCCGTCCTTTTCCAGTGAGAGATTCTAGGCTTCAATCAAGCGCCACAGGCTTGTATTTAATTTGAGGTTATCGACAAAACATCTCTATCATAACGTGCAGGCCACAGTAACGCGTTCACTCTTATACAACTGCTATCAGTGTTTCTGTCAATTCAGTGTCTCTTTTTCTTTATGCCTTTTATTGTCGAGAAAAGTTCTAACAGTAAATTGCTGTTTTGTTTGTATGATACATTATCTCTGCTTCTATTACTCGTGATTTAGAAAAAAGATCAAAAAACTACAGGGGATTAGATTAGTTATGCTGATATTAATTTTTTGCCAAAAACATATAAAAAATTCGTCCCTCATTTCGCACCTCCATTTGATTACATTGATTTTTGGGTGTGTATTGGGTAGTAGTTGATGATTGAATTTGATGCACTGGTTTTATTGATAATAGATTTTATTATATGAAGACTATAATAATCTGTATGGATAAGCAATAGAGAAATCTTTGATTAGAAATTCTAAATGCTTTTGATAGTAAAGGCTTCTCATTTCTTCTCAGTCTCACTCAGTCTCAGAGTCACTCTCCTTCACTTAACTGTTCACTTTCATAGTTTTGTTCCTTGGTTGTTGTTCCAGTCACAGACTGCAAATGGTAATTTCATTTTAATTTCTTTTAGCACAGAGTTCCTATTTTGTTTTGCTTTTTCCTAATTAGATTATTTTATGTTATTTACATGTTGTAATTTAGGACTAAACAGCATATATATATATAGTTTACAAGCTTTTCTTTCATCAACTGCATGCAACCAAAGAAATAATAGATTATTTTCTTGAACTAATAAAAATTAGGTTTCTGCAGGTTATTTATCTTCAATTATTCTCTTACTTAATTTGTAATATTCAATTTACTGTTTTTATTATATTCAATTTACTGTTTTTATTATCTGCTTCTGCATCTATAACTTAAATTTATAAAGCAACTAAAGTATAAATGCTTATTTGTGTATATTCATGCAATTGATCATCCTAAATCCATGTAATCTAATTGTTAGTTACTTTTGTATTGCATCAAATGCATCGCTTGATTAACAGAATACAAGTGTGATTGAAGGAGGAAAGATTTATTAGAGAACAAAAAAAGATAAAAAAGCTTTATTCTTTAGAACTCGGCAATAATTGGGCATATGAAGAGAGAGTGATTTGGATGTACCCATCATTAATAACAATACCTTAGTATCTTCTTCTGTTTGTTCTGTATTTCTATGTTGTTTTACCAGTGATAATGATAAGGAAACCACACTAAGAAATTGATATCGAATGCTAAAGGTTTCCAAAATTCATTTTATCTACTCTCTTATAGGAGTTTCATGAAAATTTGAAGTCTGTCCTTTTGATTGCTAATCTAATTTGTGGTAGCCATTGGTTGAGTGAGTGTAAATAAAGCAACAATTTGCATCTTATGGATTTCTTGCAGTGATCTTTTATAAGTTTGTCTTGTTCATCCTTTTGGTTGTATGCAGGCGAGCTGGAAAGCAGAATCATCCAGTGGATCTGGTGAAATTGCTGGACTTATGAAGTCCGTGCTGGACTTATGAAGTCCGCTGATTCATTGAAGATTGAAGAAAGCAAACCACAAGGTTCTATCCTTTTTTTAATACAGAATTTGATTAATTTCTAGAAAGCTCTGCACATCAATCTTTTTTCCTTAAACATCCCAAATTTTTGTCAGGACAAGGAGCAACCTCCAGAAAAACTGCTTGTCCAAATCCTCCGGCTCAGAAACCTGCAGCCAATCGCCCACCACATGCTGAAAATGCAGCTGCTGTTCAGGCAGAGGTATAAGAGAACCACTAATCTTTTCAATTTAGAAGTTTGTTTATTAGAATCATGGATCAGGATAAGAATAACCAAACATACTGTTTGCAGTGTATAAGATGGTTCACTTTGTGTTGAGGAGGGTGACTGAATTGTTCGTTGCTCATTCTGCTGTAAAAAATTTGCTAGTTTCAGTTTGTTTTGAATAACAGAAATTAGGGATATAAGCTATTTATTATGGTGCTGCATTTGAATCACTTCCAGCTGCATGTCATCCTTTCTTTGCACACTTACGGAAGCCCTTACACAGTGCGGCCGCCCTTACACCCAGTTGTGGCTAGTTTGTTCTCTGTTCCAAATAATGCTTCCCCCCAACCAAGCCCAACCCCTGTTGCCTCAAACACCGGTTTTTTACACTAGACGTGTGAAATGGATATCTGAAAACCTGGCAACCAATCGCCCCACCACATGCTGAAATGCTGAAAATGCAGCTGCTGTTCGGGCAGAGGTATAAAAGAACTACTAATTTTTTCAATTTAGAGGTTTGTTTATTAGAATCATGGATCCAGATAAGAATGGCCAAACATACTGTTTGACAGTGTATAAGATGGTTCACTTTGTGTTGAGGAGGGTGACTGAATTGTTCATTGCTCGTTCTGCTGTAAAAAATTTGCTAGTTTCAGTTTGTTTTGAATAACAGAAATTAGGAATATAAGCTATTTATTGTGGTGCTCCATTTGAAGCACTTCCAGCTGCATGTCATCCTTTCTTTGCACACTTACAGAAGCCCTTACACAGTGCGGCTAGTTCTCTCTCTTACACAGTGCGGCTAGTTCTCTCTATTCCCATAATGCTTCCCCCAACCAACCCAAACCTGCTGCCTCAAACACGGTTTGAACACGAGACGTGTGAATGGATATCTTAAACATTTACTGGTGGTGTCCCTCTGATAACTGCTTAATGAAAACTTTGCTTATCAATTTTGTAGCAGGGGAAGTCATCTGTCGGAAATCAGATGACGCAGGCTAAGCGGAAACCAGAATCACCAGGTAGATCTGGTGAAATTCCTGAACTTATGAAGTCGGTTGATTCATTAAAGGTTGAAGAAAGCAAACCACAAGGTTCTATCCATCGTTTAGTACAAAACTTGATTAATTGCTAGAAAGCTTTGCACATAAATCTTTGGTTCCTTAAATATTCTTAATTCGTATCAGGGCAACAGGCAACCTCTGGGAAAACTGCCCCTGCCAACCCTCTTGCTGAGAAACCTGCAGCCAATTGTCCACCACGTGCTGAAAATGCAGCGGCTGTGCTGGCAAAGGTATAAAAGAACTACTCAGCTTTTTAATTTAGAAGTTTGTTTATTAGAATCATGGATCAGGATAAGAATGACCAAACATACTGTTTGACAGTGTATAAGATGATTCACTTTGTGTTGAGGAGGGTGACTGAATTGTTCATTGCTCGTTCTGCTGTTAAAAATTTGCTAGTTTCATTAAAAATTTGCTAGTTTCAGTTTGTTTGAATAATGGAAATTAGGAATATAAGCTATTTATTGTGGTCTCCATTTGAAGTCACAATAATGGAAATTAGGAATATAAGCTATTTATTGTGGTGCTCCATTTGAAGCACTTCCAGCTGCATGTCATCCTTTCTTTGCACACTTACGGAAGCCCTTACACAGTGCGGCTAGTTCTCTCTATTCTCATAATGCTTCCCCCCAACGAGCCCCACCCAGCCTCCTCAAACATTAGAAGTGTGAATGGATATCTCAAATATTTACTGGTGGGTGTCCCTCTGATATCTGCTTAATGAAAACTTTGCATATCAATTTTGTAGGAGGGAAAATCAACTGTCAGAAATCAGATGATGCAGGCTAAGCGGAAACCAGAATCACCAGGTAGATCTGGTGAAATTCCTGAACTTACGAAGTCAGTTGATTCATTAAAGGTTGAAGAAAGCAAACCACAAGGTTCTATCCATTGTTTAGTACAAAACTTGATTAATTTCTAGAAAGCTTTGCACATAAATCTTCGGTTCCTTAAATATTCTTAATTCGTATCAGGGCAAGAGGCAACTTCTGGGAAAACTGCTCCTGCCAACCCTCTTGCTGAGAAACCTGCGGCCAATCGTCCACCACGTGCTGAAAATGCAGCTGCTGTGCTGGCAAAAGTATAAAAGAACTACTCAGTTTTTTAATTTAGAAGTTTGTTTATTAGTATCATGGATCAGGATAAGAATGACCAAACATGCTGTTTGACAGTGTATAAGATGATTCACTTTGTGTTGAGGAGGGTGACTGAATTGTTCATTGCTCGTTCTGCTGTTAAAAATTTGCTAGTTTCAGATTGTTTTGAATAATGGAAATTAGGAATATAAGCTATTTCTTGTGTGCTCCATTTGAAGCACTTCCAGCTGCATGTCATCCTTTCTTTGTACACTTACGGAAGCCCTTACACAGTGCGGCTAGTTCTCTCTATTCCCATAATGCTTCCCCCATTGAGCCCCACCCAGCCTCCTCAAACACAGTTCGAATGTTAGAAGTGTGAATGGATATCTCAAATATTTACTGGTGGGTGCCCTCTGATATCTGCTTAATGAAAACTTTGCATACCAATTTTGTAGGAGGGAAAATCAACTGTCAGAAATCAGATGACGCAGGCTAAGCGGAAACCAGAATCACCAGGTAGATCTGGTGAAATTCCTGAACTTATGAAGTCGGTTGATTCATTAACGGTAAAGGAAAGCAAACCACAAGGTTCTATCATTTGTTTAGTACAAATTGATTAATTTCTAGAAAGCTTTGCATATAGATCTTCGGTTCCTTATACATTCTTAATTCTTAATCAGGGCAAGAGGCAACCTCTGGGAAAACTGCTCCTGCCAACCCTCCTGCTGAGAAACCTGCAGCCAATCGCCCACCACATGCTGAAAATGCGGCTGCTGTGCTGGCAAAGGTATAAAAGAACTACTAAGCTTTTTAATTTAGAAGTTTGTTTATTAGAATCATGGATCAGGATGAGAATGACCGAACATACTGTTTGATAGTGTATAAGATATTTCACTTTTGTGTTGAGGAGGGTGACTGAATTGTTCATTCTTCGTTCTGCTGTTAAAAATTTGCTAGTTGCAGTTTGTTTGGAGTAATGGGAATTAGGAATATAGGCTATTTATTGTGGTGCTCCATTTGAAGCACTTCCAGCTGCATGTCATCCTTTCCTTGCACGCTTAACAGAAATTTGCAAACAGTGTGGCTAGTTCTCACTAGTGTTTTCATTTAGAAAGATTATCCTTGTCTTTGTTTATGTCTTGGGTTGAAGCATGTTTCACCCAACAGACCCCGTGTGGCTAGTTCTCACTAGTGTTTTCATTTAGAAAGATTATCCTTGTCTTTGTTTATGTCTTGGGTTGAAGCATGTTTCACCCAACAGACCCCAGCCGACACGGTATGAACATGAGACTGTGCGAATGGATATCTCAAACATTTACTGGTGGGTTGTCCCTCTGATAACTGCTTAATGAAAACTTTGCATACCAATTTTATAGCAGGGGAAATCATCTGTTGCAAATCAGATGATGCAGGCCAAGTGGAAACCAGAATCACCAGGTAGATCTTGTGAAAATCCTGAACTTACGAGATCTGTTGATTCATTAAAGGTTGAAGAAAGCAAACCACAAGGTTCTATCCTTCACTTAGTACAAAACTTGATTAATTTCTAGAAAGCTTTGTGCATAAATCTTTGGTTCCTTAAACATTCTTAATTTTTATCAGAGCAAGAGGCAACTTCTGGGAGAACTGCTCCAGCCAACCCTCCTGCTGTCAAACCTGCAGCCAATCACCCACCACATGATGAAAATGCAGCTGCTGCGCGGGCAAAGGTACTGTTTAGAAGTTTAGAAGTTAAGAATGACTGAACGTACTGCTTGATAATGTGTAAGATAGTTTGCATTGTGTTGAGGAAGGCGACTGAATTGCTCATTGCTGGTTTTGCTTTTAAAACTTTGCTAGTTTTAGTTTTTTGGCGTAATGGAAATTAATAATATAAGCTATTTATTTGCTGCTCCATTCGATACACTGCCAGCTGCATGACATCCTTACTTTACACATTTACAGAAGTTTTCACACAGTGTAGCTAGTTCTCTCTATTCGCATAATGACCCCTCCATCCATACCCAATCACAGTTTGAACATGAGATGTGTGAATGAATATCTGAAACATTTACTGGCGGGTTGTTCCTCCAATAACTGCTAAATTAAAACTTTGCCTACCAATTTAGTAGCTGGGGAAATCATCTGTCAGAAAATCAGTTATTCTTTGCTTAATATGCCATTTTATTTTAGTAGGAATTGCATAGTTACTCTTTGAAACGAACATGGTGTGGTATTAAGTACAGATTTATGCTGTTGCACTGAATTCAGTTAGTTGCCTTACTGATTTTAATATTTTGCAATTGCAGTTGGTTGGAGGGAGCACTACAAAGTAAGTACAGATTCTCTTTGCATGTTCTATTTACTTTCGGATTTTCTCGATGTTAAAATGCTGATTTATTTATGCCATTAACCTAGGCAAAAGAGCGAGGCACTAAGAAAGAGGGACAAGGAGAAGAGGATGAAACAAAAGAAAAGGCAGCAACAAAAGGCAGCAACAAAAGGAAAGCTTGCAGCGGCAGTTGCTGCTGCTGACACAGAGGAAGAGAAACAAGAGAAACAAGGAGAAGAGGAGGAAACAAAAGGAGAGGCAGGTGCTGTAGCAGCGGCAACGAAAGGAAAGCCTGCAGCTGCAGTTGACACTGCTGCCATAGCTGCTGCAGCTGCCGCTGCTGCCACCGCTGCTGCTGCTGCCGCCACTGCTGCCGCCGCCCTTTCTGCCATAGCAGCAACGGCTAAGGGTTCCTGATCGGATGCAAATGTACTATATTAGGTTCCAGCTGCACTAAAGAGGATCTGGTGCATATTACCATAAGCTTGCCCTGACTCTTGTTGTAGAATTATTTTTCTTACTTGTGGCTTTTGATGATAGAATGTGAGGTTATCAAATAAAGCACAAGTATGTAAGCGCATAAAAAGCGCCTTCATGTCATGGCAGCAGTGTTTGATATGAAGGCCGACAAAGCCCCGGGACTTGACGGGTTCAATCCTGGCTTCTACCAAGGCTATTGGGACATTATAGGTAATGATATTGCTCTATACTGTATTGAGATAATTCACAGCAGGTCTATCCCTGATTATCTGAATGTATTCACAAGCAGGTCTATCCCTGATTATCTGAATGTGACTTGGTTTGGTTTTGATTCCTAAGAAATCATCCCCTGAATCTAAGACTGATTTGAGACCGATTGCTTTTGGCAACTTGTTCTGTTAAAAGTCATTACTAAGATGCCCGCAAATCGTCCTCTCGGCACTATTCTTTCCGCGTCTGATTCGGAAAGCCAGAGTGCCTTTGTTGCTGGTAGGAAATATTCAGGATAATTGTTATTGCTTTTGAAGCTTTACATGCATTTCATAGGACGACTAGGGGTTCTAATTTTTCTGCAGCTGTCAAAATGGACATCAGTAAAGCATATGACAGAATGGAGTGGTCCTTTCATCGTCAAATGTTAACTAAGTTGGGTTTTCATGCTCTATGGATTAATCTTATAATGTCTACTCTAACTTCGGTTAAGTACTGGATTTTGCGGAATAACAGAGAGCTTGGACCCATTATCCCCACTCGGGGTTTGCGACAGGGTGACCCTCTATCCCCGTATTTATTCATCATCTGTGCTGAAGGCTTATCAAATATAATTCAGATGTCTATTCAGAATGACAATTTGAGTGGTTTTCGAGTTTGTCGGAGAGGACCGTTAATTTCTCATCTATTTTTTGCTGATGACAGTTTGGTGTTTTTGAAGGCTTCGGTTCAAGAATCACAATCTCTCAAACATATTTTGGCTATGTATCTCCAATACATATTTTGGCTATGTTATGAGGCAAGAATCAGGGCAACAGAATCAATTTAAAATAAGTCCTTCCATAACTTTCAGCGCTAATACCCCTCGACACTCCAGAAATCAAATATGTTTCAACTACTTCAGGGTTACGGAAAAGGATACTTTAGGCACTTACCTTGGGTTTACCGTCTTCAACATGGGTCGGAATCCGGAAGGAGGTTTTTTAATTAACATTAAGGACCGTTTAATGTGGAAAGCGTTTAAAACTCATGGAGCTAAAGTCCTCTCTCCCGTGCGGGAGAGTGCGGGAAGAGAAATTTTGTTAAAAACGGTTCTTCATGCTTTACCTAATTACCTTATGAGTCTTTTCTTGTTACCCAAGACTTTATGTACGGAACTGGAACGTATCATGAATCGGTTTTTGTGGGGCAGCGGGCGGAACTACTCTCAGGGTATTCACTGGCTTGCTTGGAACAAAATGGCCATCCCGAAGGTGTTCGGAGGGCTAGGATTTCGGAAAATTCATGAATTTAACATAGCTCTTCTAGGTAAACAGGGCTGGAAACTCATGGTAAACCCAGATTCATTGGCTGCACGTGTTTTGAAAGCAAAGTATTTTCCGACTTGTAGTTTTCTGGAAGCTAATCTAGGCTCCAATCCGAGCTCAACTAGGCTCCAATCCGAGCTATGTTTGGCGAAGCATTTGGGGGTCTAAGAGTTTGATTCAAAGGGGATTATATTTGCGGGTTGGTAGTGGTTCCAACATATCTATTTGGGATTCTCCTTGGTTGCCTGTCGAAGAGTGTTCTTTTATCTCCACTCCTCGACCACACAATAGTAATATTTTCCTGGTTTCAGATCTTATTGTACAACGAAGATGGGATGTTGAGCGGCTTCGACGATTATTCAATGCAAGAGATGTTGCTTGTATCCTCTCTATTCCTTTAAGTAATCACATGGGAGATGACCGGGTTTGCTGGAAATTTGACACAAAAGGTACATACACAGTCAAGAGTGCTTACAGTCACAGTCAAGAGTGTTTAACAGATTAAACTCCTAGACATAATCCTCGTTGCGTCACACAGTTTATGTGCTACTATAAGTGTGGACCTCGAGCTGTGGAAGATGAAGAACCCACCCAAAGTTACAAATTTCATGTTGGCGTGCAGTATGTGATGTTCTACCTTGTAGGAGGAATTTATGCTCTCGGAAGGTGGACATTGAATTTATGCTCTCGGAAGGTGGACATTCAAGATATTTGCCCTCTATGTCTTGGAGATTCTGAAACTATTCTTCATATTCTTGTCAACTGCCCTTTTTCAAGACAGGTTTGGACTCTTTCCCATCTTGGATTTCGGTGGTCTTCGGCTATATCTTTTGGGGAGTGGTTTCAGCAAGCCTCCAACTCCTTGACTTTGGAGAATTTGAGTTATGTTTCTATGGTGTGTTGGGCATTATGGACAACTAGAAATGATATGGTATGGCGTCAAAAAAGCAGGAATCCAGGGGCAGTAATTTCACTAGCTTCGGGTGTTTGGCACGCATGGAAGGAAGCTAAGCTTCATGGTTTGGTAGTTCCTTCTCCAGCAAACTCAAATCGTACATGGAGTCCACCCCCGTTTAACTGGTTAAAAGTGAATAAAAGTTGAACACGGATGGCTTTCAACTGGAGTGCGCTTCTCTGTTATGTGGGTATTGGCACTAGTGTTAGGAATTCAACCTCTGAGTTTTATTGCTGGCAAAGCGTGGAGATTTCGGGGTTTTTTTAGCTGCTAAGGTGGCTGAGGCCATACCGCCGTGAGAGAGCTTTGAGTTGGATCACAGGATCACGGAATGGAATTATATTTTTAATTGGAAACCTGATTCTCAGTTCCAGTTGCAAACTCCATTCAACGATGATCACTTACAAATGCAGCCTCCGTCTGCTTTTGGTTTGATAATTCAGGACTGAAATCCTTTTGTCTGAGAAAAAAAAAAGAAGATTACCGTCGTAAAATGTAAATATTTGTTTTATAGGTCCTCGCGAATGTAGCTGCAACGATACGTTAGCAGTTTGCACATTCGAAGCAGGCTTGCAGGGGTTTGGAATTCTGTACATCTCTGTTCTAATCTGTTTGATTTTATTGATTTCGTAATAAAATTTTCCCATTTTAACCTTCAACCTCCTGTTCTACTTGATTTATTGATTTCGTAATAAAATTTTCCCATTTTAACTTCAAAAAAAAAAAAAAATGTCATGGCAAAGGTGCAGGTCAAATGTATAGATTCATCCCTGAATTTATGACAGAAATATTATGGCACTTTCAACTTTTATTTGGACTTATTAAACACTTCAATTTATAAAATTATTGTATAATTCTTTAATTTGTAAATTAAATCAAGTCAAGATAAAATAGGTTTCATGCATATAAAAGCTAAAATCTTAAAAACTGATATTCATGCTTAGAGGTGTGTGATATTATTAAAACTCGTAATTTTAAAAATATAATAGGGTTTTAATATCGTTTAAGATGTCATAATTTTTTGCGACAATGTTTGGGGAAAAACTTTTGACACGATTGTACCATTTTTCTAGGTTCTAATGAAGATTTACAAACAAGATAATCTATCTTATCCTCTTGTATTTAGGACCAAGTATAATAAAACACAATCATACAATTCAAAAAAGACCAAACGATAAAAAAAGTATGAAACTTATTATCAACTGATACAATGAATTATTATTTTCATCGATAGATTCGATGAATTATTATCTTTTCAAAATTTGCTCACATGAATAGTGGTGTAATTGAATGGTACCGAATGAAACTTGTCTTGATACCATTTAAAATTTCATTTTATATCATTTTATGAAAAATCAACTTAAAAATTCAATAATTTCAAAATTTTCAACTGTAAATATAAATCTAGTCTATTATGATAGTATATTTTAAGATATGAAAGTAAATCTAAGATTTTTGCTTTTAACAATTGTATTAATGAAAGTTATTAAATTAACTTGCTCTCATATATTTAAAATAAACTTAGTTGTTTTGCAGTATGAAAATTTTCATATTTTATATTGCAAATTTGCTGATAACAACAAATAATATAAGGGAAAAAAAAAATCATATTGGGGTCCTTATATATTGTAGAATTTAACTAGAGTAATTAAAGTTTAATTAGTTTTTGATATTCTATCTTTAACTTTTATATTTTATACAACTTTTTTTTATTATTTGTTTTAATATTTAAATATAGTGTATTTAACGGTTTTCTTTAACGGTTTGATTCAATTTAAACTTTTTATAAACTTGACTTTCAGATTGAGTTCGATAAAATTTTCAAACCGGACCATAATAGTATGCATCATGATCATGCTATGAGTTCTTTTCAAAAAAAAAAAATGATCATGCTATGAGTTTAGAAAAAAAAAAAAAAAACCATGCTATGAGTTTAGAAAGAAAGAAAAAAAAAAAAAAAAAAAATGAGTAGCCTATTTGTTGAGCTGGAGCCTGGAGGAAATGCGTGGACCGTACATGGTCAAAACGAGAAATAATCACCCATCACCGTTAAGCCGTTGACCATCTCTTAGTTTCTTTCTTTCTTTCTTTTTTTACTTTGCACTGCTTTTCAAAAACTAATTCTTTAACGTCAATAATGGTTCGAACTGGACCGCTGCCGTTCCTGTATTCGGAGGAAAGTAGTAGCTTCACAATAAAACCAGCCGCAAAAGAACTGACCAATATCAATTTCATGACGCCAGCGTGGAGGACTCCGGTTGTAGACAGCGGCGACGGGAGTACGGAAGGATGGAGAGTTTTCAGGTTCTGCTGGATCATCTTCTTCTTGGATGGAGAGTTTTCAGGTTCTGCTGGATCATCTTCTTCTTCCGCTTATATCTCATTTAGTTGCGGTATTTGAAAAGGAAGGAAATTTTCGCTTCGAAAGAATAATTTGACCTCCATAAAAAGAGAGAAGGTGGAAAAAGAAAAGTTTATAGTGGTACAGTGTTAGGTACACGTCCTTTTCACGGCGTTTCTGGCAAGGAAGTTTCTTCGATTTTGACATTGTCAATTTCTTAACGATTAGTTAAACACTTTAACAGCACGATTAATTTAATATTTTTTTATTTAACTTAAATTACTTAGAACCTTCACTCTCTTCTTCACAGACTACCTAATTTTGATCGTTCTTTAACTTTCTTTTCTTGTTCTCACGGCGGAGAGATCCCCGGCCACCGCAGGTGTTTCAACAGTCTCCCTCTTCTTCTTTTGTCTCTCCTGTTAATATTTAGCTGTTCATTTTGGTGATAGCTTAGATTTTTTTTTTTCACAAATTTAATTGTGCAGAGGTGTGGCAGAGGTTAATCAACATGAGCGGTTCGCATGTTTTCACAAATTTAATTGTGCAGAGGTTAAGTCAACATGAGCGGTTCGCATGTTGTCAGTCTTGGTGCATATGAGGGGGAGGTTTCTAGTTTGAATCCAAGCTCAAGCAGGTATGGAAATTTTTTTACTTTAGACAGATCTATTAATTCTTTGATTCCAGTGAGTAAAAGGGATCTAGAACTAAGATAATAGATGCGAGAAGCTAAAAAAAAAAAGGTATCTGGAGCAATTTCAATAGTAGTTTCATTGATATTCCTGGTATAGTATATGCTATCACACATACAACTCAATGGAATGGTTTAATCTTAAAGGGGATCTTCTATAATTTCGCACTTGAGGGTTTATTTCTTGGTTTCTTCCAGTTATTGATAACTTGATTATTTCGATCAACATTACTAGATCATTGCAAAGAAATTTAAGCCTTTTTCTTATCTTTTCCATTTCTTCATGGACAGCATCATGAGCGGCAACCAAGCATCTCATGATGAAATTATACTGGTACGCGATCTGAATTATACTATTTTATGATTTTAATACTTAGTTGGTTTTCTTTTTCATTACTTCATGATTTTATTTTCCATGAATGAGATCAAAGTCAATTTTTTCTTCTGTCTGTAGCTTTTATAATGCCCACTCAAAACCCATATTTAATTCCAGATCATTCGATGCAAAGGACAAGATTAATAAAAAACAAGAAGCTTGCAAAGATTTTTGGTTCAGTTTTAGAAAATAAAATGTCTTCTTTTGATGGTTGACTTAGTAGTCTGAGAGTCCTACTTTTATTTTGGTTACAGAATGTCCTACCTCAGTTTTTCATCAGTTGGCAAATCTGACTACCATTTGACGCTGTTTTTATGCAGATTGATGAGCAGGTCAATTCTCAAGATGCTTCTGCCATAGCACCAGGATTGCCTGGAGATGAGGAGAGATTGTCTGTAGTAGCCCATCAGGCTGAGTTGACATCTAGTGCCTTTGCCATTGAAAATAATGGCCATGGCTCTAGAACTCCAGTGGCTCCCGATAGACTACTAGCAATACTTAATGAAACTGGGATGGATTTGAAAAGTATGAATCTTGCTTCTGCCAATGTATCTGGCACTTTGTTAACAGATTGGCATGATAAAGATCTATCACAAACTCGAAAAATTCTGCTGGTCGTCTCAGCGTTGAGTATTATTGTTGGCTATTGTTCTGCACATATCCGTACCTTTATGTCCAGACAAGACACAAGACTTGCTAGTTGGATATTGACTAGACTTGCATGTGCTGGAGCTGCTGTTGGTTTTATAACATCCATGAGTATGTTCTTGGATGATCCGCTAAACTTGTGGGTCAGCCTTGTTGCTTGTGCAATTTGCTTATACACTTTGCTGATGGTTTAATTGTGCAAAGTGTGCGGGTCAGCTTTGTTACTTCGGCAATTTGCTTCTACCCTTTTCTAAGGGTTTAGTTGGTTATTGATCTTGCCGACCTCAATTGGTTGTCAGCGGATGCTCTTCTCTTCTTGCCGACAATTGCCTCAATTGGTTGTCAGCGGATGCTCTTCTCTTCTTGCCGACAATTGCCTCAATTGGTTGTCAGCGGATGCTCTTCTCTTCTTGCCGACAATTGCCTCAATTGGTTGTCAGCGGATGCTCTTCTTGCCAACAATTGCCTTAATTGGTTGTTAGCCTTGCTGACAATTGCCTTCGTTCGTTGTTAGTGGCTTTTGTAACTCCAGATGCTCTTCTCGCCGACAATTGCCTTAAGTGGTTGTTAGCAGATGCTCTTCTTGCTGACAATTGCCTTCATTGGTTGTTAGCGGATTCTGTAACTCCAGATGCTCTTCTCCCTGAGAATTGCCTTAATTGGCTGTTAGCAGATGCACTTCTTGCCGACAATTGCCTTCATTGGCTGTTGGCGGATTCTGTAACTACAGATTCTCTTCTTGCTGACAATTGCCATAATTGGTTGTTAGCAGATGCTCTTCTTGCTAACAATTGCCTTCATTGGTTGTTAGCGGATTACAGATGCTCTTTGAGCCGACAATTGCCTTAATTGGTTGTTAGCATTGGTTTGTTAGCAGAATTAAGACGCCAGCCCTGAATGATAGTTTTCCTTGTATTCATGCTGTAGCGTGTGGTCTTCTTGCTGACAAATTGCACCTTAATTGGCTGTTTGCAGAAACAGCGGTTCTCAGGTGTTCTTTTTCGTCCAACTAATTGCCTTGAATTGGTTGTTATGCTTTCCTAGAGACCAATGGTTCTCAGGTGTTCTTTTTGTCAACAATTGCCTTAATTGGTTGTTATGCTTTCCTCAGAGACAATTGCCTTAATTGGTTGTTAGCAGATTAGAGCACCTTGATATGATAGGTTTTTGTAGGGTTGTAGCGGATGTTCTTCTGGTTGACAATTGCCTTAATTGTCTGTTGGCTTTTATGCAATAAAAGTTTTTATTTTATTTTATTTTTTTATCATATATATATATATATCTGTCAACCAGAAGAACATCTGCTACAACCCAATACAAAAACCTATCATATCAAGGTGCTCTAATCTGCTAACAACCAATTAATGAGATCATGTGAAAAAGGATTGTGTTATACAACAGAAAGATCATTCCCTCTTTAAATGAATCTATCTAAATTATAAAAAAATAACAGAATTCCAGTCTATTAGCTAAAACTTTTTAGCTAAATAACTTGAATTCGTCTGCAAACAGGCCACGTTTGGTTCACACTTCAAAATTCTGGGATTTTGATCCGATAGTTCATGGTCTACAATTGTTTGAGTTTAGGAAGTTAGGGATTCAATTGATTTTCTTGGATTATTATAATAAGTTTCACATCATGAAATTGTCAACGCATGTGAGGCCTTGGCGAATCCTACATGTGGCTTACTTTAAATTAGCAAAATGATTTACATCTTTCACAGCTAGAACACAAAATTTAACTGATGTTCTCCACCTTTTTTGTACTGATTGCAATTTTCATTTTGATATATAGAATCACTTTTTAATTGTATAGGGAAGTCCAGCCAGTGTTCAGATATTTGCCTGCAGGAAAGAGATGCAAAGTCAGCCTATTGCTCGACGAATCTTTTTTGATGTTCTACAGAGCAATTGAATTAGGCTCAGGCCTCAGTGTTCCACTGGGCTTCTGGTTGTGGTGCGGCCAGATGTTGACAAGACAAGTCAAAATTATAATGGGGAGTCCAAGCTGAACTACCTTACCACTGATGGAACCCATGAAAGGCTCGTATCTCTTCATATGTTCTGGCTCAACTGTTGACTTATTCTGATCTGGTTGTGGTGCGGCCAGCATGTTTGACAAAGACAGTCAAAATATAATGAGGGAGTCCAAGCTGAACTACCTTACCACTGATGGAACCATGAATAGAGGCTCGTATCTCTTCATAGTGCTCCTGGCTTCAACTGTTGACTTAGTTCTGATTACAGGCAGGCATCTGGACTGGTTGGATTATTGGACAGGGCATCGACGACAGAATAGGATCGGACCAACATTACATTCACAGGTATGCATACGACGTCCAGACGCTCCAGTGTGGCGAGTGTTGGGCATTTGTTGCGCTACAGCACCTTGCGTTGCTGTTGTTTAGAGTTATGGTTACTCACGCACACACATGCGGGCTGCTGACCTCGCCTGCCCTCCAGCCCTGTTTGTATATTAAGATATGATATACTGTACATAACAGGGCTTACGAGGCGGCACACATGGTACATATGTCTATGTATGTACACTATGTACAATTTGTTGCATGTATTTGTTGGCATGTATTTTGCACAGATGCAGTTTAACAGAAGTTCTGCAAAAAATTTGTACTGTTGGATGCAAGTCATAACTGTTGGGTAAGTTGAGCGCTTGAGGGCATCTAGAGAGAATATCTGTCCATGGGGCCTGGGAAAATATGGTTGGCTTGAAAGAGCAAAAGTGGTTGATATTGATGTTATAATATCTAAAATTGTTTCCCAAACCTTTTGATTGGAAAAGTGCGAAAAACTTTAGGTGAGAAGCTTCTTGTCCAAAGGCACAAATTCATTTGGTGATGGTGAGGGCTACTTGTACTTACATTCTGAGAAATGGAGTTTTTCACTGGTGGATCCTATTGTCATGAACATTTATCATGTGATTCAAGTCTCTGGATTCACTATGATGCTTAAGAAGTAATATGTTGTTTCTGTGGATTATATCACAAAACTTTTGATTTCCTTGAGTCTGGAAATCAATATGAGTGCTTCTTTTACAGGTTATTTCACAACTTAAATAAAAATTAGGATATTTGTTTATTCACAAACATTCTTAGGTAGCAATTCATAATTTGTGCTTCCCTTATAATTTGTGCTTCCCCTTGAATTTAATTTCAGTTGTGCTGCAATGGCGCAATTTTGACAAAGAACTGCAGGGTCCTCTATTGGTAGCTTTGGAACAGGCCCTTACAATACTGTCGGTAGGATATTTGTTTATTCACAAACATTCTTAGGTAGCAATTCATAATTTGTGCTTCCCTTGATCTAATTTCAGTTGTGCCTGCAAGTGCGACATTGTTTGACAAGAACTGCAGTCCTCTATTGGAGCTTGGAACAGGCCCTTACAATACTGTCGGATGGAACCGAAAAGGGACATGTATCCTTGAAGCAATAACTTTTGCCGTTTACTTTACGTTAATTTGTATAATTTGATTAACTTGAAGTAGCTAATTGACCATTCTTTTGATCTTATATTTTGCAATCTTAATTTTTTTGTTCACAGTTCTGTGCTTGGCTGGCTTTGGTAACTTGCGTGGTGATATGGTATTTAAGTTTAGGATGCTCATTCTCTGGTGTTCTTCTTGTCTATAAGATCTTCATTTGGAAGTAGGAAGTTACACTTATTTCCTCTGTTGACGTCCCTTGTCATCGTATAGAAGGAAATCACATTTTATCGCTGCCCTGGTTCATCAAATCAACATATTAATTTGAGACTTCTATGCATCATCCACTGACTTATTTCTCATTAAAATGCTGTTTTTAGCTTGTACCATTCTTTTTTTTTTTTTTTTAATGATTTTTTGTGCAACTTAGTTGTAACTTAACACCCTTCTTCTACAAGCAATAAAAGGAAAAAAGAAAAGCTGTTAATTTTCAATTTGCTTCAAACTCAGATACTGTCTTGAGGGTCGATGCTTCAGTTGTAAGGATACTTTCACATTAAAATGCTGTGCTTATATCTGCTGCTTTTATTGTGCTCCTTAGTGGTAACTTGATGCCCTTCTCTCATGGACGATAAAAAGAATTAAGCAGGGAAACTTTTACCATTCAATCCTATATACTGCGTTAAGTTTCTGCTTGTGACTGCCAAAATGGTTGAGTTCTTACTTATACCTTGATTTGTGTTAATTATGCTTAGGCATTTTGGGACTATGCAAACATAAAACAACTTGGAACAACTACCACAGAATGTTCTGTGACTACTGAGTGGCCTCCAGACGGTCAGTATTTCATGACTGCCACAACAGCACCGAGACTACAAGTTGACAATGGGTATGCTGATCATTGGTTTCTTTTTAAGCAATTTTATGCGTGTCCAGCAATGCTTGGTCATTGCTTAATGAGAATTACAACAAAGCAGTGCTTATTGCATTCTTTTGTGGGATAGAAATTGGTACTCACAGCCATAGGTCTTAATTTGGTTATTTTTGTGCATCTAGTAATTATGCTGTTATCATTATTATTTTGAGGAAAAAAGTGTTCTGATTCATGTTTACATACTTTCTTACTTCTGGTCTAGAATATAATCAGCAGATGCTCCAGTTTTATAAAGATTTACATTGTTTGTCTGTGGGGTGAAGGATGTTGGTAATAGACTTGCCTGTTGCAGAATGTAAGGGACAAAAGTCTCTGCTTTGCTTACTATGTCTTTTTATTTTCATAGGAATTGGAAGCTTGCCCTGGATCAAATCTTACAAATTTTCTTCTGCTTCTGGGTTTTTGATGATAGATTGAGGTGATCAAATAGAGCAGAACTATATAAGCAAATGAAAAGAGTTCACTGTAGCAGTTTCTGGTGGCAGGGTTTGAGGAGAACTTGTAAAGATGATTGTAACATTTTTGTGGGCTCTAGCGAAGATTTAAAAACAAAATAATGGATCATACAATTCAAGAAACATGATAATTCATGTGAATAAGTAATGTTGATTGAATTTATTAAATAATAAAAAAAATATACTAACCATTTAACCATTCATCATATATTTTAAAATTTTCAATAAATAATAATTAATACTCCCGTCTCAAGATTAAAATTTGAAATTATGAAAACTAAAAATAAATTTCACTGATTTGTGGAAGATAAATACTTGATTATAAACAAAACTCTTAAAATTAACTCCAATTGAGTTATATTGAAAATAACAAAATATAGGAGTAATTAAAAAAAAAAATCAAATTAAGCCCTATTTTACGAAAAGCGCAAGTTTATTGATTGATTTGATCACCAATGCCCAAGCAGATCAGATAAAGAAACACACAGCGATAGCCATAGCTATTTCTTACATGGATTGAGTTTGTCATCTTTAACATTGCCTAGGCAGATCAGAGAAAGCAACGCACAGCAATCGCCATAGCTATCTCTTACAAAGTCACCTGATTCTTTAATACTCGGATCTGTCCTTAGTCATCCACAATCGGCGCCCATCGATAAGTCAACCTTATCGCAGCCCGCACAAGAATTGCAATGGCCAAAGCCGAAAACACAAGCGAATAATACCGGCAGAATTTTTCATAATTCGCATTTTTTGGTTTTCCGCTAGTCAGCAACGAGCTAAACGCCCCGGCGAAGGAGAAAATGATCGAGATTACAAAAACATGAAACGTTGTCACCGGAAGCCCCTTGAATATGCCGGTTGGAACTGGATCGCCGCGGTCAGTGTACTCGTAGGGAAGTAGCTTGACAATAATACCGGCCGCCAAAGAACCGAAAAAAATCAATTTCATGACGCCGGCGTCGAGGAATCCGGTAGTAGACGGCGGCGATGGGAGCAGAGAAGGAGTGAGAGGTTTCAGGTTTTGCTTCATCTCCTTCTTCCATTCGCGTCCCATCTCTGTTGCAGTATTTCAAAACAGAAAAAAAATTCCCTTCAAAAGAAAAAAGTTGTTGCAGTATTTCAAATCAGAAGAAAATTTTTGCTCCAAAAGACCTTCCTAGAAAAGAGAGAACGCGCATAAAAGAAAACTTGATTTGTAAGTGTTCGGTGGCACGTCTTTATCAGAGTGTTTCTTGGAAGCTTCGCCAATTTAACTCGGTCAATTTCTTGACGATTAATTAACCATTTTTTGTTTTTAACCTTTTCCAATTATCAAAATTACTAAGAAGGCCCACCTTTCTTTTGCGTTTTTGGGCCTCTCCCTCTCTTTATTGCGCACACAGCGGAGAGAAATATCCTTCTGTCTCTCTGTAACCGTTGGCTCTACTGCCACCGCAGTTATTTCAACGTTGTGTACGATTCCTTCTTTTTCTTCTTCCTTTCTCTCTTTGGTTAACATTTTTTTGCTCTTTCTTGTTTTTTCTTTATGAATTTTAATTGTACAGAGGTCAAATCGACGCGAGTGATTCACAAGACACAAACAGTGATCGTGAATATGATGAGGTTTATCAAATGAATCCCAATTCAAGCATATATGAGCTTAATAGACCGACGCCTGGAGCACCAGCACTTATGATAATCAAGTCCAAACACAAATCCAAGATGGCCCATCTGCAGGGGTGGATGCACTGCGCAATCGCAGAAATCTTACTGTATCATCTAGTGTGATCGCTTGGGCAACCATTCTCTCTCAAGCAATATAGAAATCCTACTGTATGTGGCAGTGGGGTGTAACATTGTCGATTATACTTCTTGATCTCTCAAGCAATATAGAAATCCTACTGTATGTGGCAGTGGGGTGTAACATTGTCGATTATACTTCTTGATTTAGCGGTAGGTTGATGTGCAGACAAAACACGGCTTGGTGCTAGAATATTGACTACAATTGCATTGCATGTGCTGGAGCTGCTTATGGTGTCATAGCTCTATGCATCAATATGCTCTTACCGGATGAGTTCAATTTGGACCTAATGCATAATTTTCCTGTGAACTACTGTGGTTTCTGCCGGTGGTCTTAAATTATGCATTAGGTCATTCAATTTGTGGGTCACCTTTGTGGCTTGTTTAACTTTCCTACACACTTTAGCTGCGAGTTGAAGATGTAGATCCATCACCTCATATCTGTTAATTTGCATATTATAGGCACATAGGTAATTCAATAATTATGAAAATTCACTTCTGTTCTAATATATTCGTATTTAATGTGACTTGTTAAAAAAAAACTTCTTTATTTTTACTAATTACTCTTTATTTTTTAATGCCATTATTTATTGACAATAGTTTAACTACTTTCAAATGCATGTTAAACAATCTTAGATAATTAATTAATTTTGTTTAATGTAAAAAGTCAATACTAGATTATCGGGTATATCTCATATTAAAATAAAAGTATAATGAAAAAAATGCATGTAAATTTACATTTCCAACTAAAATAATTATTTTTTAAATTATTATGAAATAAACAGTGTGCCTATAAATTAAAATGAGAAAAAATTATATAAAAATAATAAATTGTGATAAGATAACCCGTGATGGTTACTAGTAACTGATGGTATTGATAAATTAATATTCATATATTTATAAGATTATAATAATTTTATTGATAATGAAAAAGGGTTCTATTTTTTTAGATGTGAGAAATTATTTCTTAAAAAATGGCTAATTTTTTATTTTATCTATAAAATATTTTCATTTATTTATTTTTTTAACACCTCAAATATAAAAAAAATCTATAAAATACTTTTCAAATAAATCTAAAAAGTATTTTTTTTTCTACACACTCGTTAAATAAAAAATAAATTTAGAAATTTCCATTTTTTTTAATTTCTTTTTAAGGCGAATTGTTTTGCTTCTTAGTTCTCAACAATTGTTGCCGCTAAGCTCAGTGTCAAATTCCGACGTCGTTTATAAGGACCTCAATCCCAGTCCATTTTTTGACTGTCTTACCACTATCGCCGGCGCCGCATCCCGGCGAAAAATTCAGTCTTTTTGTTCTTTACAACTTAAGGTACTGCTCTCTCTCTCTCTCTCTCTCATAAGACCTGGGGATTTTTTTTTCCTAGCATAGCTGCAAAATGAGTGAGATAAATTGAAGTTTTTTTTCTTTTCCTAAAACAGCTCTTCGCCTCTTGGGTTGATTGCTTTTTACGGATTGATTATTATGTTAACATAAAGTATTGCAATTTATGCTAAAAAGACAAAATATAGATGGGGTATAACACTTCCCATCCTATTTGTAATTTCGCTTGGCTTGTAAATCGGAGACAATTTATTAAAAATCTTTTTGAATTTAAACACTCGATTGTAAATATTTTCGTCGAGATATAAAAATTTCGTTTATTTTTATAAAATAATTTATAGAAAAATATTTTTCATAATTTTTCGTTATTTGGAGCGTTTAAAAAAATAAGTTATTTTTGTAAGAAAAATAGTTTTCTATTTTGAAAGAGTAAAATATTTTCAATATTGACAAACCTTTTATATCTATATATATTTTTTTATTTTATTAATCATTATAATTACTACCACCAGTCACTATTTACCAATGGACTACTGGCTTTCATAATTTATATTTTTTTCATTCTTCTCATATAATAATTTGTATAAATAATTAATATTAGTTGAATTTATTAGATAGTGGAAAAAAGGGTTAATATTATTAATTTTGAGAACTTGATATATTAAATATTCATTTTGTTTTAAAAATTTTAATATATGATTTTTAGGATATTTAAAGTTTCATATTGAAAAATAAAAAAAAAATTATAAACTAAGTATATGTAAAACTTGTTGAGATTATAATTTTAAGACTAATTTTATTCTGCGTGTGCTACATCATCATTACAGCCATTGTTCATTCTTTGTATCTTGCTCTTTTCCGATTAGGGATTAGAATTTAGAATCGCTAGACCTCCAAGTGGATTTGGGTCCAAATTTTCAAATATTTAGTAAATTGCTTCTTTTAACTTCCACTAAAGAACCAATTACACCTACTATCCTTATTTCTTATACGTAGTATTCAACTTGAACTCTACGGTGGCCCACCTTTAATATAAAAAATGTCTCGTGCCTTGGAGCGAATTGCAGGTATCACTGCTCATATATATATTGCCGAATTTGTTATAATTTGAGTTGGACTTTTCTTTCCTTTTGAACTGAAACTTGGACTTTGGCTTCTTAGCAATGAAGGAATTGACATGAGCCATCTCATTTTTCTCTAACTTTTTAATATTATATTTTAAGCTTGGCTGAACTACTAATAACAGAGAATTCTAGGTTTCAATTGCAATCGCAGTCGCATAATTTGGGGTCATTAGAAAACATCATCACTGCAAATTCAGCCACAGCAAAAGCTCCCTATAGAAGTGCTTATCAGGTTACTATCAATTCAGTGATCTCTTTTACTTTTGTCCTTTTGATTGTTGAGAAAGTTCTGATTCTGAAACAGTAAATTGCTGTTGTGTTATGTTACATTAAGCTCTGCTATCCATTACTCCTGATTTAGAGAAAAGATGAAAAGTTATTGGGGATTAAATTAGTTATGCTTCAATAATTTTCTCGCCAACACGTATAAATATCTTGCCCGTTTGCACGTTCACTGGATACATTAGCTTTTGGGTTCTGTTTGGATTGTTGAGGATTGAATTTGATGCACTAGTTTTATTGTTAATACTTAATCGATTTATTAAATGAAGACTTTAATTTATGCTTGTGGATGAACAATATATTAGAAATTCTAAATGACTTTGTTAGTCAAGTCTTCTCATTTCTTCTCAGTTCTCAATCTGGCACCAGTTCGCATTCAGTCTCACAGACGCTTCCCTTTACTTAACTGTTCACTTCCATATTTTCATTCCCTTGTTGTGGTTCCAGTCACATAGACGGTAGTTTCATTTTAATTTTTATTTTCCAGCATAGAGTTCCTATTTTGTTTTTCTTTTTTCACACACACATACATAACACACACTTTTATACATGCAACCAAAGAAAAATTATTTTGTTTTCTTGAACTCATAAAATTTAGGGTTTTCTGCAGGTTATTCCTCTTCAATTTGCTGTTTTTATTAGTTGCTTCTGCTTCTATAGCTTAAATTTATAAAGCAAGTAAATTATAAATGCTTAATAATTTATGATCATGCAATTAGTCACCCTATATCCATGTAATCTAATTCTTAGTTTACTTTGTATTGCATCAAATGCATTGCTTGATTAACACAATTCAAGTGCATGCAATTAGTCACCCTATATCCATGTAATCTAATTCTTAGTTTACTTTGTATTGCATCAAATGCATTGCTTGATTAACACAATTCAAGTGTGATTGGAGGTGGAAATATTTATTAGAGATGAGAAAAGATGACAGCTTTATTTTTTAAAGCTCAGCAATAATTGGGCATTTGAGACGATTGAGAGAGAGAGAGAGAGAGAGAGAGAGAGAGAGAACTCGATTACCAGGGAAGATGGTAAGGAAACCCCACCAAGAAATTCAAATCGAATGCTAAATGTTTCCACAATTTATTTTATCCACTCTCTTCGTTATTGAAATTTCATGAAAATTTAAAGTCTGTCCTTCGGATTGCTAATCTAATTGGTGGTAGCCATTGGTCGATTGCCTGGTTTGTAATACAAGAGGTCTAAGTAATCTAAGTACTGCGATAAATCAACAATTTTCATGTTATGGATTTCTTGCTGTGATCTTATATAAGATTGCCTTTGTCAACCTTTTGGTCATATGCAGGCTGAGTGAATACCAGAATCACCAGGTAGATTTGGTGAAATTGCTGAGCTTATGAAGTCTGGTGATTCATTAATGGCTGAAGAAACCAAACCACAAGGTTCTATCCTTTGTTTAGTAGAGAACTTGATTAATTGCTGGAATAGTTTCCAGACAAATCTTTGGTTCCTTAAACACTCTTAATTTGTATCAGGACAAGGGGCAAACTCCAGTAATTCTGCTAGTGCCAACCCTGCTGCCTATTTCCCACAACATGCTAAAAGTGCAGATCCTTTTCTGGCAGAGGTATAAAAGAACTACTAAACTTTTTATATTTCTTTTGTTTTAGACTATTAATTCTGCAGTTTCTCCTTGTTTTTCTTTTTCAAATTATATTTCTTTTGTTTTTGATCTTGCTTTGCTAATTTTTGAATTTTAGGTTTTGATGTGTTTGGTTTGCAAGAAGCTAATGAATGATGAATTATTAGTTTTCCTAATTGTTAGATCAATCTTATGCAAATATGTATCTCAATTGTTTCATTTTTTGTTTAGATAGAAGATATTTCTTCTCATTTTACTTTTAAAAAAAAAAAAAAAAAAAAAAATTTTTACTTTTAAAAAAAAAAAAAAAAAAAAAACACGAATAGCAGACTGAGGTGTATATATGTTGGAATTTTCTGTGTCGAATTTTTCCATTCTCGACATTGATCTTCTCTTTTAAAATTCTCTCTCCGGTAAGAATTAAAATCTGAGGCTGTACCTGAGGGTTGCAAATCAAGTGCAGGTGAAGGAAAAATGCACTCTCTGTGGGGATCTGGAAACAGTCTTTCATTTTTTTGAATCTTGGGATCTTGCTGTCAAACTTAGATACTCTTGCAATAAATGTAGAATATGCTGGTTTCTAGGTTTAACCCTAGAGGATGATTGTGGAGTGAAAGCACAATCATCTGCACCTTCTTTTTCCTCAAATGAGAATTCTAGGTCACAATCGCAGCCAGAGTCTCATAATTTGGGGTCATTACATAATCACATCTCTGCTCTAAGTTCAGCCACAGCAGAAGCTCCCCAGACAACTGCTAATCAGGTTTCTATCAATTCAGTGATCTCCTTTTCTTTTATCCTTTTGATTGTTGAGAAAGTTCTATAATAGTAAATTGCTGTTGTGTTATGTTATGTTATGTCATGCATTATTCTGCTATCCATTACTCCTGATTTAAAGAAAAGATAAAAAGCTACTGGGGATTAGATTGGCTACAATGCAATAATTTTCTTTCCAAAATGATAAATATGGTTCCTCATTTGCATGTCCATTTGTTCCAAAATCGATAACATATGGTTCCTCATTTGCATGTCCATTTGACATGTTAGTGTTAGCAAGCCCGTCCAGGTGTACAAGAGGTTCACGCCATGGACAGAAAGATAAAGTCAGTCAAGTCCAGCAGTTAGCTTCTTTTTCTGTTTTGTCTTTTCCAGCAGTTAGTTTCTATTCTGTTTTCTGTTTTCCGCATGTTCTGTCATGTGTTTGCTTTTCGCCCTCGTTAGTGGGTGGGGTTTTTACCAATTCACTAAGGCAGTAACTCCTTAATTGTAAGAGACAGTTACTTATATTTCTGTAAATTTAATCTTTCATTTCTGGTTTAATTGAAATTCAGTTTTGGAACTTTCTACAGTTTTTGGAGACTTAAACTCAAGAAGGTTTCCAGGGGTCTCAGGGTCCCTCTATTGAGCCTGAACGTCTGCAACCATAGGTCGCAGTAAACGCCCTTCGTCATCCCAATCACCCACCAATCCCTCATCCCATCGCCCCATAACTAGATCCTTATCTAGGGACCATAACAGTTAGTTTTTGGGTTTTGTGTGTGTCTATGCCTTTTAACAAGCCTTATTTTCATGAATTGAATGCAACCATAGAAAAAGTAGATGATCTTGAAACTAATAAAAATAAGGTTTTCTGCGGGTTATTCTTCTTCATTTCTTCTCTCTCTTCATTTGTAATTGACAAGTTACTGTTTTTATTAGTTGTTTCTGCTTCCATAGCTTAAATTTATAAAGCAAGTAAACTATAAATGCTTAATAATTTATAATCATACAATTAGTCAACCTATATCCATGTAATCTAATTCTTAGTTTACTTTGTATTGCGTCAAATGCATTGCTTGATTAACACAGTTCAAGAGTGATTGGAGGAGGAAAACTTTATTAGAGATGAGAAAAGATTAAAAAGCTTTATTTTTAAATTTATTTTTAAACTCTGCAATTTTGGGCATATGAGATGAGAAGAGAGAAAGAAGAGAGAGAGAGAGAGAGAGGGACAGGGATTTGGAGGTACTTACCATCAATAAACTTACCATCAATAACAATCCCACCTTTATCTTCTTCTGTTTGTTCTGCATTTCTATATTGTATCATCAGTGAAGATGATAAAGATATATCCAGTAAGAAATTGACATTGATGCTAAAGATTTCCAAAATTTATTTTATTCACTCTCTGACTGAAATTTCATGAAAATTTAAAGTCTGTCCTTTGGATTGCTAATCTAATTGGTGGTAGCCATTGGTCGAGTGGCTGTTTTGCAATAAGGAGGTCTGAGCAATCTAAGTAGTGTCAAAATTTTAGATTGTCAACTTTGATGCTCTCTTTTAAATTCTCTTCGGTAATAAGCAAAATTGGAGGCTGAAGGCAATGGATGTAAATAAAATGCAGGTGGTGCAGCTGCAGCAGGTAAAGGAAAAATGTTCTTTCTGTGGGTCACGGGAAATAAATTTCTGCTGGTACGAGTCTTGGCAGTCCGATTCAGTCAAAATTAGATACTTTTGCTATACTTGTGAAAGATTCTGGATTCAACATTTTATCCTAGTGGATGCCCGTGGAAGTAAAGCTCCGTCATTTGCATCTTCTTTCTCCTCACGTGAGAATTCTAGTTTTCAATTGCAGCCACAGTGGCATAATTTGGGGTCACCGCAATACATCTGTACCACAAATTCAGCCACAGCAAAAGCTCTCTATATAACTGCTTATCAGGTTTCTATCAATTTAGTGATCTTTTTCTTTTATCTTTTTTGATTGTTAGGAAGTTCTGAAACAGTTAATTGGTGTCATGTTATGTTAAGCATTGTTTTGCTATCCATTGCTCTTGTGCGAAAACTGCATGTGTACGAGTCATTATCAGATAATAAAGAGTGAGTAGCGTATCTTACCACGAGGATTGGTTTTGAATACCAAACTATTGTGATTTTAATCATCTAGATGATTAAAGATTTGAAACTAACCAAACTCAAACCTTTAGGTACAATAAATAAAAAATAAGCACCAATTTATATTAATAGGTTAGGATTTTCACTACATCAATTTATTATGATTATTGTAACTAACAGGATTATTCTTTTGAAAGGTGAGATTTCCTAAAGTAACTAATTCTCTCCATCGAGATACAAAATTGCATTCTAATTAAAGTAAACCTTGTTATCTTGGCTATTTAAATTAATTAGAAACCATCAATTCATGAAATCTCAATGCACTCCTCAAAGTAATTTTTCTTATATCTAAGCCAAAACTTCCTAGGCTCAATTGCTAGCTTTTCCAATTTTAAAATTCACCTTTCAGTTCTTCAATTGCTAGCTTTTCCAAATTTTAAAAATTCACCTTTCAGTTCTTCGGCTTAAAATCTATAAATCGTGCTATTAATAGGACCATCAATAATAATCAAAATAATCACAAGCAATAAACAGAATAATAATTGAATCAAAAGACGTAAACTAGCATTAATTAATCAAAAGACATAAGCTATCATTAATTAGGATAAAAATCTACATTACAATTATAATATTGTTGATTTACAACCTAACCTTGAAGAGAGAAACTACTCCATGATATTTATCAAATAAGTACAAGAGTTTAAAGAAACAAAGCAAATCATGAATTCAATAAACAAAAAAATACTCAAGAATTAAAGAAGATAATAGATCTGTCTTTGGTCTTCTAAATTTTCAAGCTTGATTTGTAGTCCCTTCAATCTCGTTCAAGATTTGAATCTTTGATCTACTTCCTAATCTCTTTTTGGTGGCTTGGTTTTTATGAGAAAAGCCTTTGAATTCCTCTCTAAATTTGTCCTCCTAATAGCTGGTCAAGTCCCCTCCTCTTATAGAAGCAAAGAGCAATCTGAATCCCGTAAGGATTCCAACTTCAAAACTGCCTAATGTAGAGCCCTGAGAATTATGAGCCAATTTTGTACCATAAGATGATTGAAATGGAAGTTAAAGTCTTCAGGAAAGCTGTAGCCCTATGTTTTAGCTTTCTATAGCATTTTGAATCACCTCAATCCAACATACAATCCAACAACGTAGAAGGAATTTAATGCCAAAATTAGTAAACAGAGGAAAAACTCCTCGAATCAGGAAATCTGCTGAGCTTTTGCTCAAACTAACCGCCCGTATGGCCCAGGCCCTTTTGTTCTTCTCTTGATTCTGTCTCTTTTTCCTCAAGTTTATCATTAATTGGCCTTAACGACTGCTAATAAACTAACAGCCTGGGCTGTTATTCATTCTAAATGGAAGTTTTCCAAGCTTTTTCTGCAAATTCGGCATCAGTATAACGAGTCTGAAAATGCTCTATAGCGTCAATGCTCAATCAAATGGTCATAATTAACTGTGCCAGAAACGTTTGAATCTAGTTATTATCGAACTTGAATCACTTCAAAAATTCCATCTTGTAGCTCATGATGATTGCAGAAATAGTGGGGATGTCAGCACTGAAATTTTTGGTGGAAGCTACCTTTCAAAGCTTTTCTTGCTCCATACCTTTGGCTCTATTCTTTGCACCTTTCATAAACATTTAATTCCAAAGCTTCAATAAAGAACCTAATAACATCAAAAACAACCAAAAGTAAGATAGATTAACAACGGAACTAAAAACATATGAAACGATATTGAAAACTAAAAATAAAGATAAAAGTGTAAACAAAATAAGGCTCTTACATGTGTGTAGTTTAATTCACACATCAGATTACTCCTATTTAGAGAAAGATTAAAAAGCTGACAGGGAAATTTGTTAGTTATGCTTCCAGGAGTAATTTTTAACCAAGAACATATAAATATCAACCCTTCATTTGCTTCGTCCATTTTGATACATTAATTTTTGTTGTGTTTTGGTAAGTTTGGGGATTTGAATTTGTTGTGCTAGTTTTAATTGTTGAATAGATTTAAAAATTAAATGAAGATTATAATTTATACGTATGGATGAACAGTAGAGAAATGGTTTATTAGAAATTCTAAAATGTTTTGTTAAGTCCATGTTTCCCGATGTGTCATACTTTTTTCAAAAGAAAATAAAAGGTTGTGTCATGTTGTACTTTTTCTAATAAAATAATAATCATTTTTTTTTAAGAAAAAAAAAAAAAGCAATCACTTGTTTGGTTTTCTCACTTTCTATAAGGACAAACAAGTAAAAGTTTTCGTGTTCGATTTGAATAAGAAAAAAAAAATGGATTTAACGAACGAAAGGGAGTGAAATACGGGAAATGAAACAAAGAGAGAAAAGGAAAGAAAGACCACTCTGATTTTAATGACAAGCAGTACAAAAAACCACCAACAAAAAATGTTCATCGATTAAAGGAGCACTGAATCAATTCCCAAATATTTGGATCTCGGAGCTGTGGCAGCCCTTTTCTTTCCTGTAACTATTATTTCTGTAAGTTTCTTCTGTTTTTTTTCTTTTGTTTTAGACTATTAATTCTGGCAGTTTCTGATTGCTTGCTTTTTTTTTTTTTTTTTAAAGATCGCGCTGAGCAAATTTTTAAAAATTTTAATGTTTATGTTGTTTGGTTTATGATCTCCATTTCTCCTTGCTTCCTTTTTTTATATATATATTTTGTTTAAGACTATTAATTGTGCAGGTTATCTCCTTGCTTTTTTTTTTTTTTTTTTTTTTTTTTTTTTAATTATATTTTTTTGTCTTAGATCTTGCTGTGCAATTTTTTGAAGTTTCTTTGTGTTTGATTTATGAGAAACTAATGAATGATGAATTCTTTGGTTTTCAATTTGTATATCAATCTTATACTAATATGTCTCAATTATTTCATTTTTGCGTAATTTTTTATTGTATAATTTGAAGATATTTTCTTTTCATTTTACTTATTAAAAAAAAAAGAAAAAACGTGAATAGCAGACGGTGGTTGTAAATCAAATGCAGTAACAATCAAAACCCGAGACTGAAGCCGGTGGTTGTGAATCAAATGCAGGTGGAGGTAGGATGCTCTCTCTGCGAAATTCATTTGTTTGAATACTGGGATCCCGTCAATTTACAAGCTAAATACTATTGCAATATGTGTGGAGGAATCTGGATTCAAGGTTCTGACCCAGGGGTTGACTGTGGAGGAATAGCACCATCATCTGCATCCTCCTTTTCCAGTGAGAATTCTAGGCTTCAATCACAGCCACAGTTGTATAATTTGAGGTTATCACAAAACATCTCTACTATAAAGTCAGCCACAGTAAGCGTTCCCTATACAACTGCTTATCAGGTTTCTGTCAATTCAGTGATCTCTTTTTCTTTTATCCTTTTGATTGTCGAGAAAGTTCTGAAACAGTAAATTGCTGTTATGTTATGTTATGATAAGCATTATTCTGCTATCTATTACTCCTGATTTAGAGAAAAGATAAAAAACTACAGGGGATTAGATAGTTATGCTTAGATAATTTTCTTGCCAAAACATATAAAAATCGTCCCTCATTTGCACCTCCATTTGATACATTTGTTTTTGGGTTGTGTTTGGGTAGTTGATGATTGAATTTGATGCACTGGTTTCATTGATAATGGATTTTATTAAATGAAGACTATAATAATCTGTATGGATGAGCAATAGAGAAATCTTTGATTAGAAATTCTAAATGCTTTTGATAGTAAAGGCTTCTCATTTCTTCTCAGTCTCACTCAGTCTCATAGTCACTCTCCTTCACTTAACTGTTCACTTTCATAGTTTCGTTCCTTGGTTGTTGTTCCAGTCACAGACTGCAAATGGTAATTTCATTTTAATTTCTTTTAGCACAGAGTTCCTATTTTGTTTTGCTTTTTCATAATTAGATTATTTTATGTTATTTACATGTATTTACATGTTATGTAATTTAGGACTCAACCAGCAACACACACACACACACACACACCACACATAATATATATATATATATATATATATATATATATAGTTTACAGGCCTTTCTTTCAATCAACTGCAAGTGCAAACCAAGAAATAATAGAGTTATTTTTCATGAGCTAACTAATAAAAATTAGGTTTCTGCAGGTTATTTATCTTCAATTATTCTCTTACTTAATTTGTAATATTCAATTTACTGTTTTTATTATCTGCTTCCGCATCTATAACTTAAATTTATAAAGCAACTAAATTATAAATGCTTATTTGTGTATATTCATGCAATTGGTCACCCTAAATCCATGTAATCTAATTGTTAGTTACTTTTGTATTGCATCAAATGCATCGCTTGATTAACAGAAACAAGTGTGATTGAAGGAGGACAGATTTATTAGAGAACAAAAAAAGATAAAAAAGCTTTATTCTTTAGAACTCGGCAATAATTGGGCATATGAAGAGAGAGTGATTTGGATGTACCCATCATTAATAGCAATACCTTAGCATCTTCTTCTGTTTGTTCTGTATTTCTATGTTGTATTACCAGTGATAATGATAAGGAAACCACACTAAGAAATTGATATCGAATGCTAAAGGTTTCCAAAATTTATTTTATCTACTCTCTTATAGGAGTTTCATGAAAATTTAAAGTCTGTCCTTTTTATTGCTAATCTAATTTGTGGTAGCCATTGGTTGAGTGAGTGTAAATAAAGCAACAATTTGCATCTTATGGATATCTTGCTGTGATCTTTTATAAGTTTGTCTTGTTCATCCTTTTGGTTGTATGCAGACAAGCTGGAAAGCAGAATCATCCAGTGGATCTGGTGAAATTGCTGGACTTATGAAGTCCGCTGATTCATTGAAGATTGAAGAAAGCAAACCACAAGGTTCTATCCTTTTTTTAATACAGAATTTGATTAATTTCTAGAAAGCTCTGCACATCAATCTTTTTTCCTTAAACATCCCAAATTTTTGTCAGGACAAGGATTAAACATCCACAAATTTTTGTAGGACAAGGAAGCAGCTCCAGAAAAAT